ATTATCCGCAGGGGCTGCCTTGAGGCCAACTGCACCACCGGTTACAGTAACCCTCTAGCACTGGGCGCCACACCGACGGGAAAGAGGGTAAGCAAAGCAACACCTTTCTCCCACTGCCTGTTTCCTGTTTAAGCCACAAGCTGCTAGGCGTCGTTTGTGTGTACGCTGGCAGGCGTAATGCGCAGGGCAGTCGCTTGACGTCGGTTCCTGCACCGCTGACAATCCGATGCGTGCATGCGTCCATGCTCCCTCCTCCCCTCCCTCCCAGATTGGTGTTGCCACCGGCGTCTCCACGGCCTTCACCGCGACTGCAGATCGCAGCGACTACTACGCCATGTTCAGCATTGTGGCGGATAAGTACGGATCCATCACCGTGCAGGGCGTCTACCCGGATTTCACGGTAGGTGCGCCCCCGGTTGGCCGGGACGGGGACCATGGCCTTACAGGCCGTTGTATGGGACACGCAAGCCTCCACGACTGTTGCAAGGGCTCCATGCAGGATCTGCCGTACGTAGGGCTTGAGGGACAGCATGCGAAACCGAATCTCCAAGCCACTGCCACACGCTCATTGCTTTGCTCGTCGCTCCTCCCACCCCAGGGCGCCAAGTCCGACCTGGCCATCACCGGCGGCACGGGCGTGTGGAGCGGCGCCTCGGGTGTGGTGTCCATGAACGTGCTGGAGGGCGGAGTGACCTGGCAGTACACCGTCAGGCTGGACAAGGCGCCGCAGTGCTACTACTGAGCAGCAACAGGCGATTAACTAGGGGATATGTAGGGGCACGGCGTTTGTTAAGGCGTGTCAACCTGTAGATGCGCGTAGACTGCCCTGCCAATGATGGGCGTCCGATTCATTAGTGTTGGTGCCGGGTTGGCATATGGCAAGGCGAAGCGCAGGTCGATAGGGCAGCAGGGCAGACCATTCATGGCTATGTAATTAATTGGCAGTCTGGCTAGCCTAAACAAATTCTCCTTTACCAAGCTTGGTAATTGGTACGCAATGCTGCAGCTGCAACACCCCACGTCCCAACCGTACATAGATACGCATGTGCCACTGTTTCGGTTCCAAAATGCTACTCATCACAGCCTTAACACACTTGCTCCAACAGTTGCCAAGCTCTTTAACTATACAAACCCAAAACCGGAGCTGTTGGCAGCATATGCTACGTTCCTTCATTGACCGTAACGGCTTGACAGTTGCAGTCTGTAGTCACGTCTGTTAGTCCGGAACACTATGACAACCTTTGCAGACACCTTTGCTTGCAGACATCTTTAGGAATTTGCACCCAGCCACACATCCACGTGCAGATCACCAAGCACCATCTCACACCATCTGATTGCAACCGCGCAGATCACTAGCAACTGTAACTAACCGGCGCCCCCATCCTGCCCCAACTATCCTTTTCATCTTGCAGCCGCACCGCCATTTACGTGGCATGCTTCAATCCAGGCAGCTACAACAACCTTGATGCAGTGAGCCACCATGCGTAACAAGCATGTTACTAGCAACTGCCAATCCTAATCATCGTTACTGCAACTCACACGGTCATGTCCACGGGTCATGTCAATCGGTCCTGACCAGGAGGCTCAGGAAGGGCTCCAGGGATACCTCCATCCTCCTTGAATGCCACCGCTATAAAAGCCGCCCCCATTCCTGGTATCAAGCAGCTGAAATTTGTGCCCGGCCTTTAATACATAGGCAACCAATCAATTATTGAAACCTTATCCTGTATCTACTCCTCAACCAATCATGGCACGTCACGTACTCTCGCTGGCCTTGCTGCTGCTGGCAGTTGCAGGCATGGCGGTCGCCGGCAGGGACTTCTCCAATGACAAGAAGGCCCCTGCGGAGCTGTGCGGGAAGACGTTTGTGGTGACCGAATTCTACGACCCCGCCGCATCCGTTGTTGCGTAAGTGGCAGTTGCAGCAGCTGATAGGACAGCGGTCTAGACAGGACACCTGGTGCTGCATGCAAGTGCCATGTGGCAATCCCTTGCCGCCTCTGGGTCTCATGTCCACCTTGATGATCCGCAGGGGCTGCCTGGAGGCCAACTGCACCACCGGTTACAGTAACCCTCTAGCACTGGGCGCCACACCGACGGGAAAGAGGGTAAGCAAAGCAACACCTTTCTCCCACTGCCTGTTTCCTGTTTAAGCCACAAGCTGCTAGGCGTCGCTTGCGTGTACGCTGGCAGGTGTAATGCGCAGGGCAGTCGCTTGACGTCGATTCCCGCACCGCTAATCCGCTGCATGCATGTGTCCATGCTCCCTCCTCCCCTCCCTCCCAGATTGGTGTTGCCACCGGCGTCTCCACGGCCTTCACCGCGACTGCAGATCGCAGCGACTACTACGCCATGTTCAGCTTTGTAGCGGACAACTACGGATCCATCACCGTGCAGGGCGTCTACCCGGATTTCACGGTAGGTGCGCCCCCGGTGGGGCGGGATGGGGGCCAGCACGGCCATGAGCCCACTGTCCTGCTTAAGGGACAGCATGCGAAGCCGAAACCCCAAACCACTGCCACACGCTCATTGCATTACTCTTCGCTTCTCCCACCCCAGGGCGCCAAGTCCGACCTGGCCATCGCCGGCGGCACGGGCGTGTGGAGCGGCGCATCGGGTGTGGTGTCCATGACCGTGCTGGAGGGCGGAGTGACCTGGCAGTACACCGTCAGGCTGGACAAGGCGCCGCAGTGCTACTACTGAGCACGTCTAGGGGTGTTCACTCCACGGGATACATTGCATGCATTTTGTTAAGCATTCCCTTCATTGTTGGCGATGGGAGGCATATGGATAGACATGGCGAGCGAAGCGCAGCTAGGGCGGCAGGGTAAACCGATCGTGGCCATGTATTTTAGGTGTCGGTGCTAGCTCAAGCAAATAAAGGGTGTAGCCGACAGGTTGTGGTCTGCCTATAGAGGTTTCTCCAGTCCTTGCTGTGTAAATAGGACTGGGTTTCCAGCCCGCCGTGTCATCGTACATATAATGTACGAACTGTAACATTCATTCAGTAAACCCGTCCGTGTAACACATACTCTTCGGCAGGAACAACGATGCATTAGGATACGTACACACCGCGTTTATCCCTCTCATCCAGGGTTACACCCCTGCTAATCCCCATCACCATGCAACCTTTGTAGGCAAACCTGCAACACCCCATGTCCCACCTATACACACGATACACAGCTGCCGTTATTGCGGCTGCTGGTTGTAGCAGCTGCTGCATATCACACCTTTAACATCCTTGTCCTAATTAGTAGCCAGGCTCTTAACTAGGCAAAACGAAACCAGGAGCTTTCGCTCGGCAGCGCGTGCTACAGTCCTTCACTAACCGTACTGGCTTGTCAGTTGCAATGAGTCACCTCTGCAAGACCGGAACACTGGGATGACTGTCGCGCCCACGCGCCGGCTTGCACACTTAACGCCACTGGGGTCTGTGCTAGCGAATAACCCCAGGAAATGCCTCCCAGCCGCATCATGACGTGCAGATCACCAGGAACGAGCCATTCCTGATTGCAACCGCACAGATCACTTGCAACTGTCACCAACCGGCCCTCCTAACCGACGTCGGTGTCAGTTGCTGCTGTCCGCCGCACGGTCAGTTGTCTTCTTGCTTCCAGCTAGCGTGATTAACACATGGTGCAGCGAGCCACCATGTGTAACAAACAACAACGGCAAATACTGATAGTAATTGCAACGGAAACTTACACAGTCATGTCCACGGGTTATGTCAACCAGGCTCCAGGGATAGGTTCGGTAATTTCCATCCACCTTGACGGCCACGGCTATAAAAGCCAGCCCCCATTCCTTACCAATACAAGCAGCTGAACGTTGCACCCTACCTTCTATACACAGGCAACCAATCAAGCTCTATCTAGTTCTCAACCAATCATGGCACGTCACGTACTCTCGCTGGCCTTGCTGCTGCTGGCAGTAGCAGGCATGGCGGTCGCCGGCAGGGACTTCTCCAATGACAAGAAGCCCCCTGCGGAGCTGTGCGGGAAGACGCTTGTGGTGACCGAATTCTACGACCCCGACGCATCCGTTGTTGCGTAAGTGGCAGTTGCAGCGGCTGATAGGACAGCGGTTTAGACAGGACACCTGTTGCTGCATGCAAGTGCCATGTGACAATCCCTTGCCGCCTCTGGGTCTTTTGTCCATCTTGATCATCCGCAGGGGCTGCCTTGAGGCCAACTGCACCACCGGTTACAGTAACCCTCTAGCACTGGGCGCCACACCGACGGGAAAGAGGGTAAGCGAGGCAACACCTTTCTCCCACTGCCTGTTTCCTGTTTAAGCCACAAGCTGCTAGACGTCGTTTGTGTGTACGCTGGCAGGTGTAATGCACAGGGCAGTCGCTTGACGTCGATTCCCGCACCGCTAATCCGCTGCATGCATGCGTCCATGCTCCCTCCTCCCCTCCCTCCCAGATTGGTGTTGCCACCGGCGTCTCCACGGCCTTCACCGCGACTGCAGATCGCAGCGACTACTACGCCATGTTCAGCTTTGTGGCGGATAAGTACGGATCCATCACCGTGCAGGGCGTCTACCCGGATTTCACGGTAGGTGCGCCCCCGGTGGGGCGGGACGGCGGCCAGCACGGCCATGAGCCCACTGTCCTGCTTGAGGGACAGCATGCGAAGCCGAAACCCCAAACTACTGCCACACGCTCATTGCATTACTCTTCGCTTCTCCCACCCCAGGGCGCCAAGTCCGACCTGGCCATTACCGGTGGCACGGGTGTGTGGAGCGGCGCATCGGGTGTGGTGTCCATGAACGTGCTGGAGGGCGGAGTGACCTGGCAGTACAACGTCAGGCTGGACAAGGCGCCGCAGTGCTACTACTGAGCAGCAGCATAACTAGGTACATGTGAGAGCCCGACAATGCACACTTCCAGTAGCAGGGCGTGGTCGCGAGGAGTTGATTCGTGATGTGCCTTTGGACCAGTGCTTGCCAGGAGGCTGGGTGTAGCGCTGTAGCCGTTTAGCCCCGATGTCAGGGTGCGGGATTGCTTACGTGTTTCTTAATGAATCGGGCTCATCGTCCCTGGTGTCACTGTGTGGATGCACTGTAACGGTCATTCACAAGGCCCGTAACCAAGTGGATCCATACGGCAAGTCTTAGAATCGCACATCACAGGGCCAATCACAGGGCCCTGAAACACGACGTTTAGGAAAGCAAGGCAGACCACGCAAGCTCTTATTAAATGGCCTTATACGAATCACAGGCTCTAGGCAACGCTTGTCACGGTCCTTAATAGTACGAAAAGGGTTAAATATGTCTCGGTTTGCCAACCAAGCAAGCGTGGCTGCTAAAGATGTACTTTCGGACTAAACCATATTGCAAGTTCCAGATTCCGAATTCGCTAATAGCTTGCCTCGCATTAAGTTCTGTACTCCCTCTGTAAGTTGCTTCAGAATGCACCTCTAATTATGTATGTATGCTCCTACCTACTACTGCTGCTCCCAGGGTGCCTCCTCGGCCTCCTCTGGCGGTTGTTGAGTTGCTCCTGCTCTCCGCCGGTGGTGGTAGTTCACATGGTAATCGTACCGAGGAGGCGCTGCTGCTCCTGCCGCTGGTGGTGGTTGTGGCTCCAAACCTGCCGCCTGTTGGGCCGCCTCCACCTCCTGCTCGGCCCACTGAGCCCAGCTCCGAACCTGCAAAGAAGATGGCGGAGGAACGTTTGTAGGAAGTTCAACCATCCGATCCTTCAAAGGAATGTGTCAACCCGGGCCCAGCAGATGCAATCCGAACTAATACCGTAACCCATTCGTTTGAAGCCGCGGTCTATTATAATCGTAATGGATGCAGACATCCTAAGGCAAGTCCTGCTGCTACTTGCAATGGACGAAAACGACACGTGCACGTTCTCTTGCGCACACCTGCGATGCATGCCGGCGTGCCTCCCTTGCCTGCCGCCTCGCCTCCCTTGCTGCCTCCCTTGCCTCCTGTCGCGCTATGGATTTAGCAGCCCGGCAACCGGCCTTGCTGACACCTGGTTCATTTGCTGACGCCTCATCAGGCCTCGGTGAGCCCCCGACCTCATAGGCCCCAGCGGGCCCCATGCTGCAGTTGTCAGCAGCCCCGGGTTGCGGTGCAGCTGCTGCTGCGTTATTGGCCCGGGCCCTTGCCTCACGTGCCTACGTGCATACGACACGGTGACCACATGCAGCGACAAAATCTGGTGGCGAACATACCGGTAGTTGTCAGTGCGCTGAGAGCACATGCGCAATGACATTGCACCAACACTGCACCCAAACAAGCTCCCACGTACCTGCTCAGCTGCCTGCCTGCGTGCCTCCTCCGCAGCCTTACGTGCCATCCTAGCCAGCTGTCGGGCCCTTTGTGCTTCTCGCTGGGCCGCCTTGCATAGAGAAGAGCGAGGCACCAACAAGGCTTGGTGGGGCAGCCTTACCGGTAGTGACGCAACGGAATAGTGCAGAGGCATAGTGTAGCTCATCTCAGCGTCTGATGGCCCCGGCTGAGCCTCTCGGTGCAATCCTCACTTGCATCATCTCCCATAACTGCCTCTAGCACCCACATCCGCGCGCCCAGCGCCGCTGCGGAAACCGCACCTACCAACCTGCAGCTGCTGCAACACCGCTGAGCGCTTAAAAAGCTCTTCCTCAGGGCTCAGAGAGGAGGCGCCCTCCGCTGCTGGTGAGTCCGCTGCTGCCTGCAGCTACAAGCAGCAGCATTGGGTTTGCACGACAACGCGGTGCAACGCACAGCAACAGAGTCAGCAGCATGTGTCAGTAGGGAAAGGATGGAGCAGTAAAAGTAGGGGCTTGTGGGCAGTTGCAGGGGGGTTGCAGAGCCACGTAGGTCGGTTGACAGACTGCCGTCTGAACGGCATTGATACCGGTAAAGACTTGTTGGACGCCCGTACACTTGACGCTCCTAGACCAGTTCGCCCTTTCCGCCAAGTCCTACTTCTGATCACACATCCTGATCCTACATCATATCCACCCACATACCGTGCAGACCCGTACGATGTTCGGGCAGAGCCGTACCTGCTGCTCGCACCTCCATATGTAATCGTACTTTCCACGTTCATCCTCGTCCGACAGCACTTCATATGCTTTGTTGATCTCTGCAAATACCGCCTCCGCATCCTCCTGCGATTGGTGCCAGCAAAATCTGGTTCACGATAGGAGCAGGGCCTGGGCGGATATCCATTCCTAGAAGTCCCCTGGCTACTCCCTTGGTTAGGTTAGTCAGTCTTCCAGGCTACGCAGGCAGGCCCAGGCACGATGTACTTCTGGTCACCTCTTGGCTGACGTCCGGGTGAAGGCTTTTTGCGAGGGACCTAGCGGTTTGGGGCAAGGAGCGAGGCATTTGGATAAAGGTAGCGCAGTATTATTATAATTGTCACTGGTTCTTGATAATAAGCAGACAAAGGGTAAGATGCTGCCAGCAGCGAAGCAAGCATATATCTATATAGGTATTTGACTCACCTGTAGGCAGCTCTAATATCCTCTATAGTCGCCGTTTGGGCGACACCTAGTAACTCATAAAAGCTCCCTACAGAGCAATTGTAGTTCGCTCACTCTCCGCCCGGCTTAATGTGGACCTCAAAGACGGAGTATTGATTACAGCGTTCGCATGGAACTAAAGACATGATAATAGTGTACTACTCTTACTTCTTTTCTCCAATGCCCAACAGCAAACTACCGGACGCGCAAGGCTCTTATGCTGGCTACAATTCCTCCCTACAAATAACGTCGGTGGTTTGCAACGCAAATTTAACATGTTAAGAAGTACATAACATAGGGTCGGCCTGCCCTGCGGGTAGCGCGTGGTAAGTTGAGTACGTATCCGCAGTACAGCGCCGGCATTACAGCACACGGAACCCGCGGCTTTTCAACCCAGTAGACCCCGTACCAGGGGTTGGAGTTAAGATGTGCAGGTACAAAAATTGGATGGGTGACCCGGTTGACAGGGGGTACATTACTCAGCGGCAGCATGTGAACCTGATGCGTTTTCGGCTGTGTGTGTGGGGCATTGAAGCCAATCGCCCTAGGGGTAGGCAACGAGTAGCGCGTGTCTGTCCTATGTGTGCCGTGCAGGGGTCGCCGGGGAGAGTGGAAGATGAGAAACACATCCTCATTGAATGTCCCGCTTACGATGATTTGCGTGATAAGATATGGGAAAGTGGTGTCTCACGGGATGCTGATATGATTGCTGTCATGGGCATGGAGAATCAGGCATTGCTTGCTAGCGTAATCACTAGCATGCGAAGTCGCAGGATTGCGCAGACAGGGTTTATCATATGATTACCGTTCTGTTTGTTGTCTCTTTTGTTTACTTTTCTTCTTTTGGTTGTTTTCGCGTTTTGTGCTCGCGATCCATGAGCCTTCTGGCTCGGACGGATCTTACGAGCTCGGTACGAAGCTTGTAACACATACATACATACATACACGGAACCGGATTGCCTAGGTAGCCTATTGCATAGGCAAGGCATCAAACTAAGCACACGTCTATCTGCAGCGCATGAAATCCAACTGAAGTTTGCAATATCATGTGCTTTTATACTGGATACAGTACACTTGCGTGTGCATGAGCCAACGCACCCCGACACAAAGCGACATCCAACGAGGAGGGGATGCGTACAACAACGAAGTAAGATACAACCTACGGACAGCACTGAGGTAACTAAGTATCCGCTTAAATGGGGCTGGCATCACCTACACTTCGGTTCCAGGTGCGCATGCTCTCCAAAACTATTTATAATGTACAACCCTTTCATTCCATGCAGACACCACACGCCATGTAGAACACTCGCCACGGCTTGTACGGCCAGCAGCATTGTTAAGCCTGTTAGGGTACTAAAAGAGTGGAGAACGCCTTATGACCCACGGGTCCTTTGGATGAGCACTACTCAACCAGGGCGCTAACACAACCCAGCCATACAAATAATAACGACTGCTGCATTGCACCACAGCACCGAACAGTAAGGCTACTACACCCAAAAGCAACATCCTTAGCGACACACGCCTGCCCACCTGCAGCCTTCCTATGATAGGCGGGTTAGGCAGCAGCACGGCAAACTGCTGCTGCCCGTTGTGCAATACGTTGCGAGGGGCAGAGGATCAAACTGTCTAACAGCTGGTCACTGCGCTTACCAGCCAGCAGGGGCGCGTGAGACACATACAAACTCTTGCAGCGACTCACTCGATTAGACAAGCAACACGCCAACTAGCCCGGCAGCAGGTAGTTACAACCGCCTTTACTCACGGGCGCCTTCATTCCATTCTCCAGATGTAGCCCCATGTAGGCAAATACGAGATGCACCGTAAAGGCAACAAGCTAAGCAACAAGCTAAGTAACAAGCTGGAGATGCACCACAACACATGTATGTTTTTAGCTACTGCTGATGATGACATAATACTAAAGTGCAGGCAGCTGCCATGCAAACCACCCAGTGGTTCGGCACCCTACCCAGTGCCCGTACTGAGATAGAATAGACGGTTTAACACGTAATGGGACGGCTACAGATCTCCCCTCTTGTCTTAGCCTCTACAACCAGGCATGATCACAGACGCAGATGTGGTACGTTAAGCCGTACGACAGCACAAATGACCAACGACTAACGACCCTCCCTTGTTATCGGCATCACTCTGTGCGGTGCATATGACACAAGTCGCATGGCATGGCAAGCAACATGCAAGGGCATGATAATCACGACGTCACCAGGGTATGTCGTACGCTCTTTTGGGCTGGGATCACGACTCCTTAACCAATCAGAGTGGCTTTGCCCGCGTACGTCTCGCCGTACGGTACTGTTCACGTCGTTACCACCGACATCTGCATTTATCACACCTTAGCACACATCCCTATCCCTTTGTACACCATGACAGCAAACGAACTCAACCGAACGTCCCCCCCACCTCGCCCACAGTGACAGCCACCCTCCAGCATTTCCCAGCGGCGTAACCCGTACCCTTCCCAGTATGATGTACACAGTGCAGTACAATCGACATTATGTAGCGCGAACGCCATTGCAACCAAAATCCTTAAGCTTGTTAGAACCATACAACGCATGCCGTACAGGAACTGCCGTACGGATTACTACTATGCGACTTCACTAGGCGTGTCGTATCTCCAGCAGCTCGAGTTGCATATCCTAGCTAGCTAAGCCGACACGCGCATCACCACCTTACACTACGAAGACAAGGGGGTTCAGCTTCCTCAAAGCTGGAAAAGGGCGGAGCCCCTCCTCTTCAGTACAGGAATGTATTATTACCACTGGAATGAATGCGATTACAGGGGAGTGGAACGACTCAATGGGCCTTATAGACTTGGAATGAGCACGGCATGCGCTCCTGTGACTCCACGGCACCAGATGACCTAACACGGATGTTATACGGACGCTGAACCCCCTTGTTTACTGTAGTTTTAGTGCTCGTTGCATGGCTAGACAAGCTCAGAGCCCCTTGTCCAGCCAAGGCCGGCCGCCTTGTTCACCCACGGCGTACATAGTGTCCTCACTCATTGCACACATTGTTAGGTTACGCCTGTTCAATCGCGCACTCAGTAACGTCTTGTCATGCTTGATAACACCCACGCATTAGGCTACAGAACCCAAATCGACGGCGTAACTGCCACATGGGAGTGCTTTCAGGGTCCCGTAGGTCGTTTAGGTTTCACATACATTACTAACATGATGAGGAGGTCAGGCTCGGCAATCTCGGCATCGTGCTCAGAAGGACTTCAGCCATTGCGCCCCAACATCGCATGTTAGCTTATAGGCGAGGTACCCGTTTGCATTACAGTTCATAGGCATTATGGCACACAAACCAACAGCAATGGCAGGCAACATCGTCACAAAGGATTGTGTGAGCTCAGAGTAGCACAATCGATGGAAGCAAGCATGCTCTCGCCGACTTTCACAGGTAGCCCTTTGGCGACACGCCGCTGTTTCCAATTCATTAAATACTGTTTACGGTACCAGGACAAACCATAGAGGAGCGCTAATCGGTGTTGCCGCGGTGGTCCTTTTGAATGGCTGGTCAATAAATCGTTTGTTGCGAAATTAAGTTTGTTTGGCTTCCAGTTATTTTTACTGAATACAGATAACAAATATCTATTCGGTGCAATAAATAGTTTTGTCTAGTTTGTATGTTTTGCCGTTACGGACACACGGACGGACACACGGACACACGGACATGGCGGGGCGTGCCAGGGGGGGGCCGTCGCAACTTGGGTTGTGGTGGGGTTTGGGGGCGATGTTGTTTCCCCATGCTGCGTTGCTGCCTTCTCGTACATGCCTCCAACTTGCTCTCTTGCGCACACAGTGCCCCACCCAATCGCCTTGTCGCTTGCCACTTTTGTCCAACTCACCCTCTATCAATCTACGCTCACACGCACGCGCCGCCAAACATGTGGTGGCTCTCGCTTACATGCCGTACCTCCTACTCGGCTTCCCTCTCTTCTTTTGCTGTAAGCGAAGGTACCGCTATTCTAGGCATAGACATAAGCATGCACTACTTCAAGCTGGCTTCCCGGTCTAGATTTACTGAGTTCCACCTTAGACGGCCAACCGGCTTCTGTTAGCGTCAGGATGTCAGGGTGTCGTCATATTTCTTTGTATCCGTGTGCAAGTCGAGTCGACTCCTTGCTTGAAGTCGGGATGTAGTCGTACTCGCCTGCGGTGCTCTTTAGCGAAGGTCTCCTACATGGCTCAGGCGCCACGTAGCAAGTTCAAATGCTGCATTCTGATAACGTGTTGTGGCCTTTCGTGATACGTATGTCAGTCAACCTAAGACAACGTTATCGTCCTGCTAACAGCCTAACCCCGCCCGCTCATTTGATACATCAAATCAAAAAAATCAAAGTTCAGACATCATAAATGCTATGCAGAAGAGCTTGGTTCGGACGTGGGTTAGTGGTTGTCGAAAGTTGCTTTGGCATCGCAGTGTGCTCGGGTCCGTTTTGCCTTTCAATCGTCTGTACTTGGGCATAAGTATGAGTGCGTGTCGTTTTGTTTTCTCGGCAACCCAACAGTGTCGCTGGAGTAAATAGGCAAGTAGCGACAATTGTCGTACTAAAAAGGACACAGGACGTCCGTTTTTCGGAGGGCCTTGTTTGCCAACTTGTGATTATCGCGCCTTCTTATTGTTACCAGCTTTGCTAGTCCTTCTTTATCTGTCTGCAAATCGGGTGCTGAGAAAAAGTTGGGCTGAACTGCATTCGTTAGTGGTGAGCTGACGTGTGAAGGGCTGTGGTAAATGTCAGGCCCATATCGTATTGCCCAGCACGCCACCCGTGTTGCTTACTGCTCACGTGCATTCAACACGCCTAAATGCACACGCTCACATGGCGGCCCTACCAGTAAAGCGGGGTTGCGGGCATGCGTGTGTGGGTTGCATAGGCCGAGGGGGTGTGTGAAGCGGGGTTGCTTACATGCGTGTGTGCATGGGTTGCATGGGGTAAGGGGGTTAGTAAAGCGGAGTTGCTTACATGCGTGCATGCGTGGGTTGCACGGTGCTAGGGGGCGAGTAAAGTGGGGGTGCATGCATGCGTGTGTGGGTTGCATGGGCCAAGGGCACGAAAAAAGCGGGAATGCATGCATGTCTGCGGGCGAGGGTTGCATGGGGCGATGGGGCGCGTAAAGCTACGGGTGCTTGCATGCGTGCGAGTGTGGGTTGCATGGGGTGAGGGGGCGAGTAAAGCAGAGGTGCTTAAATGCGTGCGTGTGTGGGTTGCATGGGGCGAGGGGGCGAGTATTAGAGGGGGTGCATGCGTGCTTGCACGGGTTGCATGAGGC